GGCGATGCCTGCAAACTCTCCGTTATTCTTTGGCGGAGGTGCTGAAGAAGCAAGGACCGGCGTGGCGTCTCTGGAAACGAGGGGGACAGGGGGGAACCTAAAGAGCGCGAACTGGGAGGCTGCTTTTGCACGCGCGATGGGTGGGAAGCGGACCCCGACGAACGGGAACCCAGCGAGGAGCCAGGAAGGGCCTGCATTCGCGATGCCAGGGAACTTGGAATCGGCATCCGCCTGGCACTCAGGTTTGGCGTTGGAGGACCCGATGGAGGACCCGATGCCGCCACGACTCGAGGACTTATTGATGGGCCTGATGGGCTGCTTCCGCTTCTGCATAATGGGCCTCTCGTTGCAGACAGATATAGACGGACGTCTTTGACTTTTAGGGTCCTGACTGGCGTGACAGGAGAAACTAGGGCTGCTTTTTCCTCTGCCCGTTTTCTTTCCCTTTTCTCTCTTTTCTCTCTTTTCCTCATCTTTTCCTTTTCCTCTCTTTTTCTAATCTTTTCCTCTCTTTTCCTGATATTTTCCTCTCTTTTACTGATCTTTTCTTTCTCTTTCCTCTTCTTTTCCATCTTTCTCTCTTTTCTTTCCCGTTTTTCTCGGCTATGGCGTTTTCTCGCTTCCAGAAGCACTTCCCGCGACACATGCGCATCATATAGAGGCGCGCCTAGATATGCATCTTGCGGAGGTAAAGCGAACTCAGAAGAAGCAGGAGCGTAATATGGAGGACGATAGCCTGGGAGCTGGTGAACATAAGGGGACGACGTAGCGTGATTTGGGGAGAGGGTGGAATCGTTCCAAGAAACAGACACTGGAGGGGCGCTGATGGGAGCCAGGGAAGAGCGAGCTGGAGGATGAGAAGGAGCTGCTGGAACATCATCAACGGAAACAGGAGCAGAAACAGGATCAGGAACAGGAGCTGGGGATGGTGAACGAGAAGGCACTGGGGATGGAGGAGCTGCAGAAGGAGCCGAGGAGGAATCCGCAGAACCTACAGCCCTATTATAATCTATGCGAGGAATCTCCATAAGCATATCTGAAATAGAATCAACTTCATCATCAGCATAAACAGGATTCCCGCCAATATCACCGCGTATAGGTTCAACCTCTTCAACTTCTTCAGAGACAGGACTATCAGGGCCAATTGAAAGATCTGGTGCCACTTCATCCACATCCACATCCACATCCGCATCCACATCCGCATCAACTGGTTCAGGCACCGGATCAACAACCTCACCCTCGAAATTAAGAAACTTCCGACGCAATCCCAGCTGGTGCCAGACCAGGCCCAAATGACGGGACCGGAGCACATCGGCCGCATTGACGGAGGGCGGATAATTGGCAATCGTGCCGTAATGCTCCGTGGACGTGGCCACCGAATGGCCCAGGGTCCGCGCAATGGTCTCGTAGACCAGACGGTACATCTCGAGATCTGCACTGACGCTCTTGGTGTAGTGGAACTCGATGCACCGCTTGAGGATCTGGCGCACCTCGCAAAACTTATACTCGCGCTGGTTATCCATGCCGTACGTGAACCAATACAGGATTCCTCTACGGATCTTGTCCGGCAGCATTGCATCAAACTGGTACAACTTGGCACTGTTCTCCACGCGCGACAGCTCAACGTACATCCGTCTGAAGACGAGCACATACCATAAAAACAACGACGACAACTCAGGCCCGATTTCCCGGATGATGGGGTCTTTGGCGTTGGCCGACTTGTTATAGTTGTAGCAAAAGCCAAACGTGGGGCCAAGAAAGTACACTCCGCGGTATTCCCTGGACGTGCCCTCCACCGATAACCGGTCGATTTCTGTTGAACGTGCGGGCAAGCACAGGATGTGGAGGAGCGTGATGAGGATAAGCGACAACTTGGAATGCGCCTTCCGGAACAGTTCAATGTTGTTGTTATGGATAGTGAGCAAACGGTGCTTATATCGCGAATACAGCGGTACTCTCACGCATTCAGTGAACGAAACCATACCGTCGCTGAGCCGGGCGTTATCGACTGAATAG